TTCGGTATGGGGACTAAAAATAGACTTTTTTCAATAGTAAAGGAACCAAAAAAGGTATTTATATTTAAAATTTTAATATAAATTAATATATTAATAAAAAAGTAATTAATAAAATATTATTAAAATACATATATAATGTTATATAAGGTTAGCATTTTTTTTTTATTAGCAAAGAAAAGTTTATTAAAGTGCAAAGATTACCTCAAATTTGTTTATAAAACTATTATGAAATAAAAACTAAAGTTTAGTATGTCATATCCAAAAATCCTTCTTAGCATGATTCCTTTCCACACCATTATGCAAGAAAAAATTTCTCATTTTTGAAATAAATTTGTTTAATCATATAAAAGGTATGAGCAGATGAAAATGTTTTATACAAACTTCAACACCCTTGCTTAGACACAAACAAAGAAAAAAGAACAATATCTATTTGAGATCTATTAGTTTTTTTTTTTCATTTTACATATCACAAGTCAACTTTCTATCTACAACAACAACTGCTTTAGTAGAGACAAAAGGTATTATGCTTATCCTTTTATTACCAAAGTTCTCTTCCGCCACCTCCACTCGTTCTCCCCCTTTCCTTATTCCCTTGATTAAACATATATCTAGACCTTAAATCTATGTATCTAAACCTAAAAAATAAAAGTAGTCTAAAGAAAGAAACCGATGTATCTACACATGGAAGAAACTTGGAAAAAAGACATGGAAGAGTTATAAAGAACAAACATTTACTCCAAAAACTAGCTAAATCATGAGAAGCACAAAAGAGGCATTCTCTTCGATTCATAGAAAGAGGCATACTCTTATTCCTACAAAGGTGATAATTTTTGACATTGGACTATCAAAGTCACCTTAAGATAATAAATACTTATTTTTGAATCTACTAGCCTACTTAAACATATAACAAGCCATTTATTTCCAAAAGAAAAGAAAAAAATCCAAAAACAAAAAGGTATCTCTCAAGAATTTGAAAAGGATCTACCATAAACTCCAGTTTACCATTAATCCAAAAGAAAAAAAAAAAAAAAAAAAAAAAAAAAAAAAGCGAGCATTTGGAAATAGCCTATGTGGAAGAAGTTTTGGAATCTATCAAAAGTGTAACTCAAGTCAAAGGGCATATCAAATTAAGACTTCCTTATGCTTAAGAGAGTCTGTTCAAACATGAAATACCAATTATTCCATAACGTAATGTCAACATCTTAGGTAAAACCAACTTTCAAGTTGCCTTTAGTTTTAGCACTATATTAGTCCATTTACATTGGATGCAAATCTGAATAAAGTAATATCTATGCTAATTCTAACATGTATGTTCTGACTAAAATGTTAGATTGACCCTTACTTCTTTCGCTTCCTATATGGTGGACTACATTTGTCATCCTCATCAATAATTGATATTCCAAAGAAAAACAGTAGCCTAAATTCAATAGACACGTTAACTACAATTAAGAGCACTCACTTTTTCATTATGCCTTCCATCTATGTAAGGAAGATTGTGCACAATAACAACTCTCCATATTCCAATCTTTTTGATATTTTTTTGATATTTACCAGATTACCATTACATTTCAGATCTGCTTCTGTTTCTTCATCAACAAACATGTAGAAACAAACAGTTTGCTTAGAGTATTTACTAAAGTTACTCGGGTGTTATGTGTTATCAAAAGCACCTGATGTAAAATGGAATTTATTTAATTATTTAATAAGCATTTTCCCACCTTAAAACATAACAATTGAAGAAACAATTTACAAATTCAATACCAAAAATAGCTGATCCAACAACCACTCCATTGCACTACTCCATCTCAAGAAGATCATCATCTTCAATGTCAAATCCAGTCCCCATGGTCAAGCTTTCTTCCCTTTACAAATCTCAACCCAAAAAAAAAGGAGGAAAAAACACATCAAGGAAAATATAAAATCTGCATGCTAGCATGAACATCCATAAAGGATAACCAAATGGTTTGGCCATGAAACTTCCAAGTTAGAGGTCTAAAATTCAAATGCTTGGTATGGTGAGAAGAGGTTTTGAATTATTCACTTAGCTATTCAAAAAGAGAAAAAAAGAAGAAAAAACCATACCCACAGCGCACACTCACTAACTTTTTATATCATACAAATCATCATGCTGCTTCAAGGTAGGGTATCCACCAAAATCTAAACCTCCTAATTTTGTCTCCTTATTTAATGATTCCTTATAAATATATTAGGAAAACTCCTTGAACTCAGCTTTTTTTTTTTATGCCAATAGTATAAAAATATAGCTAATAGTGCAAATTAAGAAATGTTTATCCATGCATTAAAGTATGAATCTGTTTAGTATGTTTCTCTAAAAGCATTAGAGAGATAGAAAGAAACCTCACAAACTGTCGTGCTAACAAAATCACCTTGGTCATCATCCAACATTCCAACAGGCAATTCTAGAACAACCCGCCCAGTTGGGACTTTAGCCTTAGACAAAAATGAAATCTAATTAGATATGGGTGAGTATCAGTAGAAAATAGGTCAACAATTCAACCCTCTACTCATTGGTAATATGTTAGATCAAATGCCAAAGAATTCAAGCATGACATAATAGATAAGAGCAATAAAAAATAACTCTACCTGTTCAATAAGAACAACATAAGTCTCACCCTTAGATTTCAGAAGAATTAGCACAGCTAAAACCGGTCCTCGAGTGAAAACAACACCTAGAACCTAAGCATGTGTTTGAATTGATTATGAGAGAAATAGTACAGGTTCATCAAATAAAAGAAAAAAAAAAAAGAGATAGGATGGCAACAATCGAAATTACGGCTATAGAATGGCAGAGTAAGAGAAAATGCAAAGTTAATTAAGTTTCAAAAAAATTGAATCAAAAGCAGTGGAAAAAAAAATGATTACAAAAGTAATTTACCTAATACAATCTGTGAAATACTTCTTTAAAAACAATATTAGTTGTTTGTTTTGAGACATTCCCTTGAACAGCCACGCTTAAGATTTTCAATCCATGCTTACTTTTTACTCTTGAAAGTGCAACATACAACTGACCATGGCTGAATGCAAGCCTTGGAAGGTAAATTCTAGCATCTGAAAGAGTCTATGATGGTCATAGCAAAACACTTAACTAAAGGAAATTGTCTTCTTT